ACATGAAATGGAATACTATGCAATGTTGATTAATAGTGATGAATCTGTGAAACACCTTATAACATGGATGTTTGATTTTGGTATATTCCATCTGGCAAGGTCCATGTGCATACTTGTCTTTTGATGCTTTCTGCATCATTCAGTATTTTATCCATAGAATCCTTCAATATCACAATTTGAGGCTTGAATTTTTTCTTCAATTCCCTCAGCTTGAGAAATGCTGAACGTGTTCTTCTCTTTTGGTTTTCTAACTCCAGATTTTTGCATTTCATTATGTTATTTGACTTTGTCTTCTCGAGCCTTTTGAAGTTTTCTCTTCAGCTCTTTTACCTCTTTATTTCTTCCACTTGCTGTAGCATCTCTACACTGGAGGGCAAGTTTCAGAGTCTCTGTTGACATCCATTTTGGTCTTTCCCTTCTTCTTTGTTGTCTTAATGACCTTTTACTTTCTTCTTGTGTGATGTTTTGATGTCATCCCACAACTCTGCTGATCTTCGTTCTTTAGTGTCTAGCGCATGAAATATGTTCTTGAGATGATCTCTAAATTCAGTTGGGATAAATTCAAGGTCATATTTTGGCTCTCATGGACTTGTAATTTATTTCAGCTTCAGCCTGAACTTACATAAACTGATCATAGTTGTGGAAAAAGTTGGTGAAAAAACTCCATATCATCAGCCAAAACAGGGTGTACCTGACCCAAGCCATGGTATTTTCAATAACTTCATACGCAAGTGAAAGTTGGACAGTGAATAAGAAGGACCATAGAAGAATTGTTGCATTTGAGTTATAGTGTTGAAGGAGAATATTAAAAGTACCATGGACTGCCAAAAGAACAAATCAATCTGTGTTGGAAGAAATACAGCTAGAATGCTCATTAGAAGCCAGGAAGGCTAGACTTCATCTCTCATACTTCAGACATATTATCAGGATGGACCAGTCACTGGAGAAGGATATCATACTTGATAAAGTGGAAGGTCAGATACAGAGAAGAGGACCCCCAATGAGATGGATTGGCCCAGTGGCAAGAGCAATGGACTCAAATGTAGCAATGATTGTGAGGTTGGAACAGGATTGGGTATTGTTTGGTTCTGTTGTACATAGCATCGTTATGAGTCAATACTGACTCAATGGCACTTAATAGCAACAATAATATATACTATACAAATATATATAAGGCATCTAAATTGGCAAAGAAAAAGTAAAACTCTCTCTATTTGCAGATGATATTATTCTATACATAAAAAATTTCAAAGACTCAGCAAGAAATATATATATCACAAATCCATAAGAGTTTGAAAACGGGTATTTGTACCTGGGTATTTACCTTTCCTGAAAACACAAGTATGAATGTGGTGGAGCATACAGAAGGTAAATTGTAATGACACTCTTCAACCTGTGCTTAACCATAACCAAACACTTCCCAGAATTGAGATATTGGGACCATGCACTCAGTGAACATCTAGTAGGTCAATGGACTTAGTGTTGTACAATAAGTACTGGACGGTTAAATGCATGGTCAGAGGTTCAAACCCAGAAGTTACTCCTTGGAAAGGCTGTACCAGGTTGTTATGAGTCAGAACTGACAGGATGGCACTTAACAACAACAGTCCATATAGACAATGTTTTATTTCCTACTGTGGTGAGTAATAACTGGGAACTTAAAGGCTAGGAAGCAGTCATCTAAGATACAACTACAAGGGGCTTCAAAAAAGATTGCAGAACAGTTTCATTATCTTTTAATTCCATTTTTTCCACAAACTTGTGATGCCCTTTCATGTTTGTCTGTCCCCGTCCAGAACAAAGAGGAGTGAAGAAATCCAATCCTCAAGGAAACAATTTGTCCAAGGGACAAACTGCATGGACCACAGGCTCCAATAACCTGACACCAGAAGAACTCAATGGTTGATTACTGCTACCAACTTCTCTGACTGAAATCACCACAGAAGTTACCAGATAGAGTGGGAGGAAAAAGTAGAGCAAAATTCAAATTCATAAAAACACTAGATTTACTAATCTGAGAGAGACTGGTGGAACCCCTGTGACTAGGTCTATAGATAGCCTTCTAATTTAGAATTGAAGTCGTTCCCAGAGATTTTCTCCCAGCCACATAAAAGACATGCCTATAAAGTGAACAATCATACCCAGGAGGAACATGCCTCTTGGAACAACCAACTATGTGAGATCAAAAGGGCAGCATTTGTCCAAAAGCAGGAAGGGGCAGGGAAACTGGGCAAACAGAAATGGGGAATCCAAAGTAGAAAAGCAGGAGAGTGCTGACACATTGTGGGGATTGTAACCAATGTCATAGAACAATATGTGCATAAATGCTGAATGGAAATGCACCTTTCTTTGTAAGCTTTCACCTAAATCACAATACAAATTTAAAAAAAAATACAAGTCACTGGCAGCAAGAGCCATTCTAGTTTATAAGATACCCAAGAACCCTAATAACAAGGTGTGGTGTGTGATCCTTGTGGGGATTCAGATTCAAACAAGCCATGTGAAAAAAGAGAAAATTGGGAGACAATTGGGGGACTTTGAATGTGAACTGAGTTTTAGATACCAAGGAATTACTGCCCACTTTGTTTAGGTGTGATAATGTAAGAAAGGTTGCATATTTTTTGGAAGATACACTGAAGTGTGTGGGATGGGATGACATGATGTCTGGGGTTTGTTTGAATATTCCTCGTGGGGGAGAATAAATGAAGCAACTGTGGTCAAATCTTGATAATGCTAAAAGCTGGGTTATGGTTACAAGCAAGTTCAGAATATGTCTCTATTATTGTGTAAGTTTTAAATTATTTAATATTGAAAACATTTAAATGGTTATCAAAATGATGTGGCAACATGAAAAGAGTTAAGTATGTAATATTAAATGGAAGAACCTACATAAAACCCCCAAACCTGTGCATAAGCTACTCATTCTGTTAATATTTACAAACTTGTTATGTCTGTCTTTTGTAGACAATCCTCCACCCAATCTTATACACTAACATCGTTGTAAAGGTTGAAGAGCTGTTGAAACTCTTGAGATAAGGGCTGTAAATGTCTGTTAACGGCTCCTAATGTTTTCTCTCTTGTGATGTATTCCCCATTTATGACAGCCATTATGGTGGATACACTTCACCTGATTAAAGGAGCACAGTCAAGTCCTAATCATTAAACATACTTGCCCTTTCTCCTACAGGATAGCAGGTCCCTTGTTTCATTAAAGGCATTGCAAATACATATTTAAAATGCAAAGATTAAAGAAATCACAAGGGCAATTAACTTTATTGGCTAGTGCTACAGGAGTATAAATCTCTTGAAAGGCAGCTATTTCCAAGCTCATTTTACCTGTGCAGTCTCTCAGTGGAGCTCAAGCATAGGTAGTAAACATCCAATTGGAATACAAAATTAAGTGCAGGATTGTAATAAATACATTTTTCATACTGCAACGTAAGATCAGCCAGAAATTGTTTTGTTTGTTTTTGCAAAATTATTTACCCATCTGTTAACTTCAGGAACTTGTTCTTTGGTTGTGCTATTTATAATAATACTCATGAAGTCACTTTGAATAAATATATTGTTGTTGTTGCTAAGTGCCATCGAGTCGGTTCCAACCCACACTGACCCTGTATAAGGTTTCCCAGGAGTGCCTGGTAAGCTTGAACCACCAACCTTGTGGTTCAAATCGGCCTTGCAGTCCAGTCCAGCACATTAAGCCATAGCACCATGCCAGGACTCCTTCTCTTTCTCTCTCTCTTTCTCTCTCTCTCTGTCTCTCTCTGTCTCTCTCTCTCTCTGTCTCTCTCTCTCTCTCTCTCTCTCTATATATATATATATATATATATATATACATTCCCACATATATACACAAGCTCAGTAGTTCAAACCCATTAGCTGTTCCTTGGAAACCCTATACAGCGTCACCATGAGTCAGAACCGACTCAATGGCACTTGACAACAACATACATATATATTTAAGGTATTCTAATTTTAACACGCCCCAAATTCTAAGTCTTCTAACAAAATAGGTGATAGTGCAGACAGGAGAGTACCAGGGAAACAAAAAATAAGTCCTATCCTCAAGAAATTCTTTTGCCCCAAATAAAAAACATCAGACATCATGGGAATATATTAGGGACTTTCCTAGATTCTGGAAAATTCATTGTCATGGAAATGTGACCTCGTCAAGTATATGTACATATATCCTGTACTACTCTTAGACATCCACTGACTGCCATCAGGACAATAATTCACGGTCTGCTACGCTGTGATAGGACCTTTTGAGTTAAGTTATTTGTGCCTCTCTCTAATGTTGTAATGGGTCCATTCATAACAACTCTCTGCTGTTTGGTGCCAATAGAAACAGCTCATGCAAGGTTTATCATGCTAAGAAAACAATGGAAATCACATGTGAAGGTGGTATTCATGGAAATACGCAGTTCCACATAATTCCAAAGCCAAGTAGGTTCTCTTGTGAAGGGGGCTGTAGTCGACAAACTTGGTATCTCTAGTTTCATTCTCCTGCCAAGGTTCTGCACATTGGATTTCCATCCCAGATTTTAGTCTACCGGCACTATTTATGCCAGATTGCCATCCTTAATTTAAAAAATATTAGTGGAAATTTACAAATAATTATGCCATACTTAATTTAAAAACCATTGGAAATGCTCTAGGCTTAAATTGGTTCCATTTACCATGACCTCTGAGGCCTGGACACCTCCTGGCTATACATGACAATGCCACACAACTCACAGATTTCCCCGCAACAATAATTGGTTATAGCTATTAGCAAAGGGCTAATTTAACTAAGCTTCTCATTTGGCTTCTTTATGTTTAGATATCTTATATTTTTGAAGACCCCCACTGGCAGCAAGATCACACCAGCCAACAACAACGTGCCTACAGTAAGGACGACTTGGTACATTAGTGGAGTCCAGGCAAAATATCTTTGACCAGAGAGGAAATTGAGCAGGGGTACGGAAAGTATTATAAAACCATGCAAAACTACTCACAGTTTTGGTTTGGCAAGCAGAGGTGGTGGCTCCTTCGTGGGTGAAAGTAGGACAGCTGGTGTTGGAAGAGATTTATTACTGCTAGCTTTGCCATTAATCAGTCCATTTACTCCATGGCTGGGATGGACTCCATTAGTTTCCCTCTCAGCAGAATTGAATTGCATTTGAAGGGCTGCCATGCTACGTCCTAACTCAGGGCTGTTCACCTGCTGGATGTCAGATGGTTTCTTTGAAGCCAGCTCAAAGGAACTCGTCTCCAAGATTGGAGGGGGAGGTGGGAAGTGCTGGAAGTGATCATTGTTGGATTCTCCCATTGAATCATAGCTACAATTTTCAGTATTGGCTAAGGAAGGGAAAAGAAAGCAAAAAATAATAAGATGCTACTAGTTCAACAAGTTATTTTCACACTGCAATAGATCTTCTGAAAATCCCTTGTGCCTTGTTAAGTTGCTAAAGAAGAAGTGGCTTTACTCTTTTCATTTGATGTAGAAGCAAAGCCAGCTGGAGGGTTTAGTTTTTCCAAACTTGTTTTGAGTGATTGCTACCTGTTTCATTTCCTGACTGGGCACACATATGGGGAAACCAGCCTCTGATTCATTGACAAATTTCAGACAAGAGCTAAAGATAGAACCTACTGCTATTGAGTCGATTCTGGTTCACAGACACCATAAACAGGGTTTCCAAGAGTGTAAATCTTTATGGGAGCAGACAGTCTCAGCTTTTCCCCATGGAGTAGCTGCTGGGCTTGAACTGGTGACTTTGTTATTCCCAGTCCAGTGCTTATGGAGCACCAGCCAGGCTCCATAAAAGATATTGTTGTTAAGTTCTGTCCAGTGGGCTCCTACTCAGAGTGACCCTATGTAGGGTTTCTGAGGAGTGACCGGTGGGTTTGACAGCTGACCTTGTAGTTAGTGCTACACTAGAATTCCCATAAAAGACAGAACTTGGCAAAAAGCAAAAACAAAAACACCCCACTACAACACAGACAGTACCAATCAATAATGTTTTGTTTACTCATATTTTAGCCCATGAATCCAAATGAATTTTCTATGGCTGAGCTTCAAAGAGTTATGGGAAAATGGAATTAAAAGAAAATAAAATTTTTCCACTAACTTTTTTATGCCCCCTCATATTCTACCTGTGCCTTATTTATTGATTTTGGTTCATGCTATAAAGGTTTAATTGATCAGGTGGTGGTGGTGGTGCTGCGCCATGGAGTCGGTTCAGATTCACAGTGACCCTGAAAAAGGTTTCTGAGGCTGTAAATCTTTACAGGAGCTGAAAGCCTTATCTTTCTCCTGTGGAACTGTTGACCTTGAGGTTAGCAGCCCAACTTGTAATCACTCTTGCTACCACAGCTCCTTAATTTATCAGTTTGTAGTGTTGTTAAGTGTTGTTAAGAGTTGGTTCTGACCCATACAACCCTGAGTGGGATTTCTGAGGAGCAGCTGGTGAACTTGAACCGCCAACCTCGCTGTTCAAAGTGACTTTGCAGTCCATCTCATTTGCAGTGCTACACAAGGACTTCAATTTATCAGGTAGTGGGTATGTATTCTATTTTAAAGCCAATGGAAGTAAATCTCTGAATCTAAGTGGAAAGTCTCATAATGTTGTAGAAACCTTTTTACCCATGCCAGATGATTGCCACCACTGTAACTCAGTACAAAAAAGTTTTTTACTAGTTACCCTCCCTAGACTGAAGTAATCTTGAGATCATGTCTTTTTTGTACTCCTCATCTTGCCCAGGGCCCAGTAGAGGTCCTGGCGCACATGCAAAAATGTTTATTGAGAAAATGAATAGCTCCAAAATATTTATTATGTTTGGCCAGTAGCCGAGTTAGCCCAGATGAGATGGAAGAAATAAAAAATAATGCACACCAGTTTTTACACGCAGATCCCTAAAGTCCAGGATTTGGGTCATAGTGCTTGAGCAGTGCACAATTATCATGGCCATTTAATGGGGCAATCCTCAAGTCAACTCAAAATCACAATGCTGGAACCTTCCCCACTTTGTAGCTCCAATCATGACACAGGGATTCCCTTTGAACACGGAAAACACTCAGTGCTATCAACTATTCCTCTATGAAGGTGAATTACACATTTCTTTTTCATGTGGGAAGGAAATATATTTACAATCCACTTAAAACTTCCTAAACCAGTTTTGCTTGTGCCTCTGCTGCCACCTAGCACCAAGTTCTCTAAAGATTCTTCTAAAGGTTTCTAAGGGCAATTTGACCATGCTCTTCCCAACCCACCTCATAAAACCAACGCCACATTTACTGATAACCTGCTATGTGTACTATGTGTCATACTGGGTCACAGAGATAATTAAAAAATCACTGTAATATGAATAGCAAGAGATAACACCATTAAAATAAAGTAATAGTGGTGGCGGTGGTGGTTGTGTGCTGCCAAATTGGTACAGTCTCATAGAGACCCTGTAGAGGGTTTCTGAGGCTGTAAATCCTTACAGGAGCAGAAAGCCTCATCTCTCTCCCTTGGAACAGCTGGTGGATTTGAACTGCTGACCTTGTGGTTAGCAGCCCAATTTGTAATCCACTACCAGGGCTCTTTAAAATAATAGTAGAAAATAGTTAATTTCAGTTAAAAAAAAATATTGGCAAATGCAATCACTGTTTTAGGTTGCTTTCCTTAGTGGTAAATTTCTGAGCTTAAAAAACATTTGTGTGTTTTTGAATACTGTATTTAATAATATGGTATATTACTTAATTTTTTCATATGAGAATTATATTTACTTATCAATAAGACATGATTTCTAAGCTCTTTATTGCTTCTCTAAAGTACATCTGATTAATTTTATATTACTTTTTCAGATGTTGTAATATGGGTCAAACAGTGATTTATTTATACAACCATTTCCGGGTCTTGTGAGCTGCCATTCCTAGGAACAGTGACGGTGCCTTCAGTTCAGGGGTGACCTTCTGAGGTGAACACAGTTCTATGTTAACATGAGAATATTGTTTCCATGACCAAGATTGCGGGATTTCAAAAATAGTCTCATGTGTGTTCCATTGCTACACTATAATAATCTTTTTTCTGTTTTCCTTTTCCATTTTCATTCCTCATCCCCTTCCATTAAAGCTTCTGTTTCATGATGAAACAGATGGTTAGACTAAGTCCTGAAGCAGCAGCAAACATTCTTAAAGGCTAAGCATACCATTCGGGAGAGTGCCTTTCTTCTGTGGAAAACCACACTCATGCAAGGGAACAAACCTAACTCATTTTTACTCCATACCTACCTGAAGTGACAACCAGCTGGGCAGTGCTGGTTACTGATCCGTAATCATTTCTAGCACAGCATGTGAAGATCCCTGCATCTTCGGGGAAAGTCTCAGCAATCACTAGGGTACAGATCTCCTCTGGAAGGGAAGAGAAAAAGAAGAACTCAGAGTAAAACCACAGAATCACTTTGAAGAAAGTCAGACTCTGCTTTTCTAAAATGAACAAATTAGGTAAAAATTATCACAGAATTAAGAGGAATTGGTAGTGTAGTAGGTTAAATGTTGGGCTGCTAGCCACAAGGTCAGCAGTTTGAATCCACCAGTTGCTTTATGGAAGAGTGATGAGATTTTCTGCTCCCATAAAGATTTATAGCTTCAGAAACTCTATTGTTAAGTGCCATCAAGTGGATTCCAATACATAACGACCCTGTATAAAGGTTACAAGGCGCCACTGGTGAGCTTGAACCGCTGATGCTCTGGTTCAAATTGACCTTACGGTCTAGTGTTTTATTCTACAGCACCACATCAGGGCCCCTATACAGGGCCACTATCTGACAAAATTGGCTTGAGGCCACACAACAAAATCAGAGAATTGCTCTGTTGTTGTTATTCTTGAGAGCAGTAGAGTAGGTTCTGACTCATAGTTACCTGTATAAGGTTTCCAAGTAGCAGCTAGTGGGTTTGAACTACTGATCATGTGGTTAGCTGTCCAGTGCTTATCCTATAGTGCCACACCAGAATAGCTTCATGGTTAAGTGCCGTCTTGTCAGTTCCAACTTATAACAACCCTGTAAAGGTTTCTGAGGCTCGACTGGTGAGTTTTGAACTGCTGACCCTGTGTTTCAAACCGACCTTGTAGTCCAATGCTTATCCTACAGTGCCACAGCAGGACTCCACAATAGAAAAATCATGCTATTTACAAAATAGAAAAAGTGTTCACAATAGAATCTCTTTGCATTTAATTTAGCAGTTCAGCCTAAGTGGGAAGAGCTTTGGAGTCAGACCGATTCTTGGAGATTTTTCCACAAGTTCAACCTCAGTTTCCCCATCAATAAAATGGGGATCATCTCTACTTGACAGGATAATGTGAAAAGGAAATTAGATGTTTGTAAAACGTGTAATTCTGCATCTGGTATGTGAAAGAAGCTCAGCAAATTCCAGCTTCATCCTTTTCCTATCTAGTTTAGTTGACTGTATGTGCAAGTTTTTTTATTACTATGTATTTGCTTTTTACTTCTGCTCAACTGAAAACCAATTAGTCGGAAAAATAAAGCTTTTATAACATGTTGTCAATGGAAAAAATTCCAACATAAACTACAAATATTTAATTTGCAAACAATTAAACTGGAAGATACTATCATACTGTTCTGTGTACAATGGAATTTGTGGCAGTGCTGCAGCGAACTAATCCTCAGGATTTGTAAGTCCTGCCACACATTGGCTTTTTGGCCTTTGTAAACATCCCTGAAATTAAATGCTCTTGTAGTCTTGGGGTGGTGCTGTGAGTTAAGACTGTAAAGTCAATTTGAAGTGCAAGATCGGTAGTTCAAGCTTACCAGCCGCTCCTCGTAAATTCTATATAGGGTCACTATGGGTCGGAATTAACTCTACGGCACTTAGCACCACCACCACCAATCTATAAAATGGAGTCCTGATGTCGCACTGTGGCTTAATGTGCTGGACTGCAAGTTGGTTTGAACCACAAGATCAGCGGTTCAAGCTCAACAGCGACTCCTCAGAAACCCTATACAGGGGCGCAACCAACTTGATGGCACCTAACAGCAATGACAATCTGCAAAATGGGGAAAATAACTGTGCTAACCTTATAGGGTTATTGTGCGGTATGATGCTGCTAAAGGTGATAAAAACACCGAACAGTTATATCTCCTTTACCATGAACAAGGTACTGTTATAAGTACTTAAAATTGCTTTTGATTTCTTACATCAACATTACAAGTAAATTTACATATGCATGTTTATTATAATTAGCCCCTTTTATAGGTAGGAAACTGAAGCACATTAAGGTTAATTGAATTGCCCAAGGTCACGTAGCTAATAAGTAGTAAAATCAAGATTCAAATAGAGTTCGGCTCCAAACTCTAGATTCTTAAAAACTACCTACTGTTATAGTATGATCCAGTGTGCTTAGGACAGTGCCTGGCATACCGGAAATGCATGTTGTTATTATCATTATAAAGATCTGGAACCTATTAAATATTTGTAGGTTGGAAAATGATCTAAACGGTACCAATAAAATAAACGTGATTATGTTGGCAGATTGGAAGAAAGGTCATATATTCCTGACTCTTACGAAGAGATTCTAATGGAGAATCATATATTATATGGGCAGGATAAGGCCTTGTAGACTTTTTTGGGCCACAGTGACCACAATTATATCCCTCTCTGCATCTTGGTAATATGATTTTGCGACCCCTTTCATCAGATTCAAGGTGTAGGAATCTATTTCCTATGCCTTGAATTTAAGTTGGCCTTGTGGTTTATTTCAATCTAGAATGCAGCAAAAGTTATGAAGTGTCAGTCTGCTCCTCAAGCATGCCACTTCTGCTCATCTCTTGAGATGTTATTTATATCATTGTTATTAAGCACCGTCGAGTCAGTTTTGACCCATAGGGTTTGCAAGGAGCAGCTGGTGAGCTTGACCCAGTGACCTTGTGGCTCAAACTGACTTTGCAGTCAAGTATATTAGCCCACAAAGCCAAACCAGGATTCCTTTTGTTTACATTAGGGGTCTTCTAAAAGTTTGTGAGAAAATTCCATTATCTTTTAATCCCTGTTTTCCATGAACTCTTTGAAGCCTCTTCATATGAAAGAGATGCACTAGCCTGAGACCACACAGCACAGAGATAAGCCATTCCAGCAGAGAGTCTCCTAGACAAGCTAGTTCCCAGCAAACCTGGAAACTGACAGAGTCCAGTTAAGATCAGCCAAACCTGGTACAAAAATTGCCAAGTTGAGACAAAGTAAATTGCTGACCCACAGAACTACACAAAAGAAATAGATGCTGTTTTAAGCCATTTCATTTGGAGTGCTATGCTATGCAGAAATAGCTGATATAATTTGATAAAATAAAATGCTTCTCTTCCAATATCCTTCTCTGTTACCCCTCTCAGGGCAACATTTTCAGAGCTGTAGAAAAATGAAACTTCCCTCAATTCAACTATCATTAACAAATTCATCTCAAAACATATGATATGTTTTAAATATTGAAAGGAAAAAGTCCTAACTCTGTAAAAGTGCTACCTTGAAATAAAAACATTTTTATTTGTTATCTCTTTATTTGATTTTTAAGTTTGTCAAAGAAATCTATTTTAATTTGTTAAATAAAAATAAAAATAATAAATGCTAAAGTAAACAAATTAACAAGAAAATATAAAATGAAAATTAAAAACTCCCTTTATAATTTAAATTCCTTTCTATCCAATTTCCTTCAATAATCTCACTCCCTAAATGTCAACTCAAAAAGTTTATCATATTTATTTGCAAAAAATTAGTGTATTGATTTATCCTTTTCTAAATATATCCAAATATTATAAAACTATATTGATTTTGATATAGAATTCCTAGATCAAATATGTAGCATTTTAGGTTATCAAGTAACACAGTCCATATACAGCACTAAGTTTTTTTCCATTTTTCACCTTCTCTTGAGCTGTATTCCTTTCCTAAAACTTACACCACCCCCATCCATGATGATGCTGATGAAAATCTGTTTAATAGTCTGGTTAGGATTGTATTAAACATGAAAAGTTTTCATCTGTGCCACCATATTAAATCCATAAGGAAAGATCTGGGGCTCCATAGTGACTCTACGTCTTTGTGATTTGGGTAATAATATAGCTTTTTAGCTATATTAAATTAGGTATAAAATTTCAAGAGTTATGAGGATACATACCTCATTTTTTTAGCATAATGTGTTCAATTTGACATTTAAATAGGACATGAAAAAGTAGAGTTCAATGTTGAGAAAAATGAATAAATAATAGAGCTTAATAAAGACAAATGAAGCAAATTAAAAATCTTTAGGTAAAATTGAAACCAGATCAAAACACCCATGCCATCGTGTCATTTTCCAACTGAAAGCTCTCCAAAATAAGGTTTCCTGACTATAAATCTTTATAGGAGCAAATAGCATCATCTTTCTCCCAAGAATAGTCGATGGATTTGAACCACCAACTTTGTGGTTAGCAGCCTGATGCCTAATCCAAAGCACCACCAGGGCTTTTTATTTAAAAGTAAATGGCAGTGAAATATGTATTAAGTATAAACCTATTTTAATGTTAATTTGCATCTATTTTAAATAAAACACTGTAATGTTGTTGTTGTTGTTATTATTAAGTGCCATTGAGATGGTTCAGACTCATTAACAACCATGTATAGGGTTTCCAAGGAGTGCCTGGTGAGCTTGAACAACCGATCTTGTGGTTCAAACCACCTTTCAGTTCAGCATATTAACCCACAGCACCACACTAAGACTCCAAAACACTGTGATGTTGTTGTAGTTAGGTGCATCAAGTCAATTCTGGCACATAGCAGCTCTCTATCTATAGGGTTTCTGAGAAGCAGCTGGTGACTTTGAACCACCCACCTTGCAGTTCAAACTGACTTTGCAGTCCAGTGCATTAACCCACAGTGCCACACCAGGACTCCGGTGTGATAAATACTATAAATATAAATAAATTGATTCAAGGAAGAAATTGCTTAATTGATCTCTATCTTTCTTGAAGAATGATAAGAAGAAATGACCCAAAATTGTAGCAAAAGGGAAGAAGGTAGACTAAATTAATGGGAGGATTTCTTTAATAGAAGGTTTATGACACTGAGAAAGTTTTTTGAGATAAAATCTGACACCTCTGAACAGCTTTTAGAAATGTTTGGAATTCATCCATTTACTTGGTAAGCATTTTAAAGAGAATCTATAATACTTTATGTTTTTCCTGCAGATAGGAAGATAAATAGTTCATGGTCCTGCCTTCAAGTTGTTTGCAACCCTGTGGAGAAACCGCATGTCTTTTTATAAGGAAATGAATTAGAACATCCTTGGGTCTATTCCAACTCAACAAATTCATACCATTAGTACTGCATGCTAATAAGATATATTATGCTTTCCCTTTTTCTCT